AGCTAGATGGTCAGAGTTGGTGGCTCCTAGTTGTAATGGACCACGCGACGCGGTACATGGGAGCGTGGATAACGAGCACGGTCACAGCTGCGCAGACGGCTCACGTCTTCTTGCGGGGCTGGGTGACACCGTTCGGTATTCCGCGAGTGGTCTCAACGGATAACGGCACGAGCTTCGGGGGGGCGTTCCATGAGATGGTGGGTAGCGCGTTGGGCTGCGTTCATCTGACGACGGCAACGTATAGGCCGCAAGGCGCTCAGAAGCGGGTTCAAAGCACTGTAGCAAGAAGGACACCGCGACCTGGGTAGGATGGTGGCGGCGGTTTGTCGCACGCACAATACGACACCGCACATCAGCACAGGGGCGACGCCGTACGAGGCCTTATTCGGAAGACCACCGTACTTCGCGCGGTTGCAAGAGGTGACCGCCACAGTGACAGAGGCGCAGAGGAAACAGAGCCTGGCCGCACAGGTGCGTGAGAGACTGCAAAAGGCCATGCTCACAGATAGGCCGCTCGAGGAGTCGGGCGCGGATGACCTACGGGTAGGAGAAATAGTAGTAGTCTCGATGGAGCCAGGGTCACAGGCAGACGCCAGGGGAGGACCGAAGACACCCGCCTGGGCGCACACCGCGTGGTCGCTACCCATGAGGATAACAGAGTTGAGAAAAACGCAGGTAGTGGCAGAAGGGTGCGACGTGCCGGGGTGGACTCACAGGGACCAAGTGAGAAGGTTGAAGCTGAGCAGGGATCCACTGCTGCGGTGGGCAACCCAAGAGTACGTCTCAGGGCAGCGCGAGCTGCAGGAGCAGGCCGAGAACAGGCCGAAGACGACCGACGTTGGCATGAAGACAGAAGCCAACTAGGATGAGTTCTTAGGAATAATACAACCCTTCAACTGACAAGCCGAGAGGCCGTGTTGGTATGTCAGTGGGCAAGGTCGGCTTTCAGTTGCTACGTCTTGCCCGCCGAGGCTTTTTTGTCGAATAGGGGGGTCAGTAACCGTAGCGATGCAAGTTAGCAGAACCAACACCGAGAACTCTTCATACGACACAGGCAGCACCACGTCAGCAGCGGACCAGTACGACACAACAGTGTAAACAGAATGGATTAGTCTTCTCACCACCTTTGTCGGATACATTACACCCTCGAAAGTGCCCCAGTTTCTGACAGGTGCTTAGTGCGACTTCAAACTACCGCAATT